TCTGTGTCAACATTATGAAATTATATCTGGTTTTTGGAGTGTTACTATTACAAAAAATAGAAGAGGATGAAGAGGATTGATGAAATTTATTCTAGTTTATCATGAAGCTGTATTTGTTCAAATATTTAACAAGCATTGATAGGTGATATATATGTGTTTTTAAAGAAATAGCAAAGAAATTTTAAATGAATGTTTGGGGTCAGAAGAATGGGCCATTAAATATTATTTATGAGAATAATAAAACTATTTTCTTACATATTGTATATGTACACGATCAGAAGGTAGAGGAGATGTAGAAGGAAATAAAAATTGTAGATGATAGAGGAAATGAGACAATATGCAATGCAATAAGTTGAACGTTATGTTTAAATAGATTTAGGTAACAATAATAATTTATAATATTCTTCTAATAAAAATTTTACATAATTTTTCATCAAATTATACTAATTATACTTGATGATTATTACTATAGGATAAAATACATAATTCTTGCTGATTACAATTAGGGTCTTCCTTTATTATTATAATAAGAACTAACAACTATGCTTCGTATCACAAACTATATGTCTTGTGTCATGAATTATGTTTTGAATCACGAATTATTATTATGCTCCGCATCATGAATTATTGCTTCAGAAGACCCTAGGTTTCATATGATTATTACTTGGGGCGTTGATTAAATGCCAAGGTTTTCTTTATTTACCATTCAATAAAAATTTATTAATTATAATTTGTTTTGCTGATTATAATAAAAAAACATATGTTAAATTAAAAATAGCAAACATGCAGTATATTTTACATAATTGTTCATTTTCTTTAATAGTTATCCTAGTGAGTTTAGCTATTGCAGAAGGAATGTTATTGCTAACCGTTTGGGTCATGTGAGTTTATAGTGTTGTGACACTAAAAATAGTGTGTCATTAATTTGAGATGATCAACGAGGGGAAATTTTTTTAAAAAACAACAGTAATGCTCATATAGTGTCGATCACCAAGTTATTTTTTTTTTAATGATCGACAACGCAAAGAAAACAATAAATAAAATCGTATTTTCAAAATGCTACTAGTCAATGAAAAAGAGAGAGATCATTTCCAACTTTGAGCATGGAATAGTATAATATATCTAGCTTATCAGTACAGAGAGATTTTTGAAGGTAACAAACAGCATTGATGAAAACGTCACCATCAAAAATTGCTGAAAGTGCAACGGATATAATAAAAACACATTTTTCAAAATGCTACTAGTCAGTGAAAAGAGAGGTATTATTTTCAACTTTGAGTATGGAATAGTATAATATATTTAGTTTATCGGTACAGAGAGAATTTTGAAGGTAACAAACACCGTTGATGAAAACGTCACCATCAAAAATTGCTGAAAGTGTAACGGATATAATAAAAACACATTTTTCAAAATGCTACTAGTCAGTGAAAAAGAGAGATATCATTTCCAAATTTGAGTATGGAATAGTATAATATATTTAGTTTATCGTACAGAGAGATTTTTGAAGGTAACAAACACCATTGATGAAAACGTCACCATCAAAAATTGCTGAAAGTGTAACAGATATAATAAAAACACATTTTTCAAAATGCTACTAGTCAGTGAAAAAGAGAGACATTATTTCCAACTTTGAGTATGGAATGTATAATATATCTAGTTTATTGGTACAGAGAGGTCTTTGAAGGTAACAAATACCAGTGATGAAAAAATCACAATCAACATTTGTTATATTGTAACGGGTCTTTTGGAATTTTTATTTTTATTATTGTTTCCTTAGAAATTCGCCATGCAATAACATTTCAAAATGTATATTAGTATTACAGAAGAGTATCTTCTGAACATAATTCTGTTTTTTTTTGTTTTTATTTCTTTTTTTTAAATTGGTAAATTTTCCCTTACAGTATTCCGTGTAACATCCATAAAAAAACCGTACATATTAATGATATTAATTAGATTTGTTGATCTACTTGTATGACACCTCCCAATATGTTACCCTAAAATCATATGAACTGTCGACAAAATGAATCAGACCCGTAAGATATAGCCAAATCGTTCGACAGTTGACGAAATCGTTTTAAAATAGATCACCTCGAAAAAACCGATTTCCAAATAGTTGCAAAACAAATAATAATTTTGCTATTTCTATTACCATTACCATTACTATTACTATCATTTCAACCAGATTTATCGGAAAACCCGGTTCTTTACAATCTTTTTCATTTCTTTATTTTCATTTACCAATGATAAATAATTTTTTTTCAGTTTCTCTGCCAGTTTCATTTAAATAGTTCTCATGAACATAAATTTCATTAAAAGTTCTTGTACAAATCCTTTTCTATCTGGTGATAATAACTGTTGAAATGTCAATTTTTTTCTTTGAATTAAAATTTTATAAAAGTTAATTCGTGCTTAATTTGGTGCCTAGACAGCAATTTTAACTTTTTCTGTAACAGATCACGTAGCCAAAGTACAATAGTGCATATTAAGTACCAACAAAATAAAATCATAACTTTGTAAAAAAAGCCTTGGCTTTCAAGGCCGGTAAAATTTCTGCGGCAGGGATATGCACTATATAATGAAGTTAATGATAAACTCACAATGCACGATAAAATAAGACCCTTCCTTCACATTGGAGCTCAATGTAAATAATTAGTTAGTAATTACCAAATTCATCTCATCAGAACGTTGATGGTGATCATCTATTTAGGATCGCAATCCAAACGTATTTGCGTCGGCACAAAAATGAAAAGGCTTGATTTTACGAGCCGGTTTTGTTGAGTTCAATCTTCAGTTGGCATTCTCTGATATAGTTTTTTTTTTATTTATTCAATAGTCTAACAAGCAAAAAACAACGACTTCTTTTTCTTTGTGCTTTCGCTTCCTTTTGCTTATTATCTATTCTTTTTACGATCGGATCTTCTGTAAATGGTATTTACCTCCTTTCGGGAACCTGAGATGTTATAGCTAATAATGGATTTGCGAGAAAATTTGCAATCTTTTTGAATATTGATGACACCATTAATTTCGCATTCACTTTTCTCACATCACCAATCGTTGGATTTTATGATTCTACTCCGAGAAAAGTATCTTTTCTCATGTCATCAACCCCAGTGCTCTTGATCAATTCCAGATATTGAGGAATATACATATATGTTGCTATAGTTATATTTTTTTCGTAATCTGAGGAAACTAACAAATACACTTTCTTTCTTTCATATCTAAATATTCAACATTAGGTTCATACCGGTAT